TTGCGGCTCACAGAATGCTTCATAAACACTCCGAATCTCGACGCCTGTTGTTGAGGAAGTAAAACAAAAGTCGTCTCTGGTAAGCGCCAGGCTATCGGGACCCGGAAAACCCCTCGCCGCGCCGGGTTTGCAGATAAAGCGCTGAACACGTTGACAGGGCCCACGATTGGACGAGCATCCTGTTATGTACGTAGCATTCTCCATAATAAACTCGAAACATGTATACAGCTGGAGGTCGAACTACAATATCGCGTGAAGTCCTCAGTGTTATTATGCTACAGGGCGAACCGTCTCTGAAAGCGTGCGCGCAACAAACAGATCTACAGCGGCAACTATCTAGAGGACTACTACCTCCGCACGCGCTTCGCATGGATAACCTGTCTCGACATTGCAATGGCTGGCCTCATGCTCGATAACTGTGCAGCGGTGTCAGCTTCGTGCGGAAGGTACCGATGGAATGAGATATACTCGTGTCAACAAGGCATGCGCCCACCTGGTAGTAAACACCTTCAATACCTAGTACCTGCACCCGAGCACAAGCATCAAGCCCTTTCTCGCCAGCCCCTTCTCGCCGCCACGAGCTCTTGGGAACGCTCCCTATCAGGCGCTGATTTGACATCCCAGCCACCGCCGATTGTCGCACAACATGACGTAGACATCTCTGAGGACCTGCCCGACTTTCTCGACCACTCATCCGATCGCCGACAGGCAAGGGCAAAAGTAGAACGCCATCCGGCGCTTGTCCTTGACACAAGGTAGCGCTTGCAAGTCCAGGAAGCTCAGGAGCGAAATGGGCGCATTGAAGCCTGCGCACCAGGGACACGAGCTCAGACAGTGCTCGATAGAGCCACCCCGCCGGATGTGCAGCGGGAGCAGGCCGTGGACGTGCGCGTACGGGTCGGGTACGATATAGAGAGGTCACGTACAGCGGAGTCGGAGACGACAGAAGAGAGATAGGGCTGTGTCGTGAAGGAGATGTGCACAAGCTGACTCCAGCCGCAGAGACGCAGGACCCGCCGTGCTGGGTTTTTTGTCAGACAGGAGGGATCTCACAGGATATGCCGAACATGCTGGGGTCACGTCAGCAGTTGTACAACATACACATGCATTAGTAGCACTCACCAGGAGTAAAGATGCTTCGAGATTACCGCTTGGCCTGTGTGGATGAGCAGTTTATGCTCTCGATATAGTTGAGAAGGTAGCCGTGGTGCCATGGCCGGGGAGATGAAGTGCATCCAGTCTAGCGCCTCAACCCCGATCTCCGCCGCGAGCTGAACTTTCCATTGCAACTCGTGTATTCATATATTACCTGTCATATATCTCGCCCACCTCCATCGCGTACGCCTCCTCCTAGTTGGCCCAGAACACCCGCCGGCATTCCTCGATCAGGGACTCCTCTGCTGTCCCGCCGTCGTGCGGCTCGAAACGTGGATTTGCAGGAGCCCTCGCAAGTTGAGGGACGCATACAAGGCACCAGGAGCGCGTGATCTCTATCTTCCCCAGAGCGAGCCTGAGCGCTGTACCCGCCTTCGACAGTGATCGGAGAGGTTAAGTCCGCTAGATCTGCTCTCTGCGCATACTTCCACTGGCTGAATCCCTCGTCTTGCAGCCTGGACTCGCGGCCTACATTCTGAATGAGCAAGTCCCGGTCCGCTCCCCCCTGCCGTGCCGTCGTCCATGAGTAAATTGTGCAATGCGCACGAGCGAAACAGATGGCCCGTACCAAAGCTAATTGCTGATCATGGCTCGTGTTCGTCTAAAAACACGGCGGAGAACTTCAAGGCGATGTCTGCGCTCGGTCTCCGGGAATTTCTGAGTCGCTGTTTCGTGGTTGCATCCCGCGACTGTTGTGGCGTGCCGATGTCTTGGAGTACGGGACGCACGGCGAGATGTGCGGCCTGTCGAACCGCACTTGGACCGCGGCGTTGTGATGAATGGTGTCTGCACCAGGCTCGCGAGCGAAGCCTTCCGCAGTGGCTCAAAGCGTTGATCGGGGTGCCCTTAGACGATTGAAGTGAGTAGTTTACAGAACAACTATAACGCACGCGTGTAAGAGATAGAACACCATTAGACATCGACAGGTCACTCACCATGTAACCCCTTCTTCGCTTCCCACTCTTGCAAACCTCCAGTCGAAGAACCGAAAAGCTGCCGTCTATATCGTCCCACGCGCTTGGCCTGCTGAGTGCGGCTTCGCTCATGTCGGCTGAAATAGACATGACGATGAGAGTGATATCAAGGGAGCATGTGAAGAGTCCATACTGGGCAAATCGAGGGCGAGCCAAGTAGCCGTGGGGTCGTCATACTCGCGTTCTGTGCAGCAGTCTTCGAGTATGTTCACTACCAGAGCAGCGTAAGCAAATCATTATGGCTAGTCTGATATCAATGAGCTGTACCTGCTTACGATGCCTTCGACTGTAGAAGCTGGCAGCGTTTGAGTCTTGGTCCGCCCGAAAGACGCGAGTCTTCTGCTAGGCGGTCTGGGTCGAAATTGCGGGACATCCTATAGCTACAAATATGCCACGGTTGTATGATGTGGGCTAGCTCACGCGGGAGGCTGGCGCACCAGTAAACAGGGGCCGTGCTTTGTCTAGTGGGGGCTCTTGAGGCGGCGACCTTGAATGTTCGGGCGACGCCGCTTCGGCCGGGGCTGTCTCGTGTGCTATATCGGCAGGATGCCTTGGGGACCTCGCGAGAGATGGGCTTGTAGTCGATGTTGGGGTACATGTGCAGGCCATGGGCAAGAGTAAGCACTGAGCAAACCCAAGAGTGCGGCGTGACGACCCAAAGAGCGGTGACGAGGAGTGACAGGCGCGACACTGATGTGTGATGTCACGCGTGCCTTCTCTGTCACGTCGCTGTCAGTGCCGTCTTCAACTCTCTCCACTCATCTCTGGTCTAGAACTGCGTCTAGCCCACCGCTCGAGCCCAGCGTCCGACTCTCACACCACCCGTTGCAACTTCCCATGCCTGCCATGCGTCCTCTCCTCCCTCGCCTGTCCAGATATCGTTGTTGTGGAGCTAACGGATGACTATGGAAGACTGGGGAAACGGGTTATAAGGGTCCAGGGGTGCTCATACGCGCATCGAGAGCCAGGTTACTAGGTGCGTCATCTTCTCAAGACGTCGACTGTACGTTGATCCTAGAGGTCGAAGCCATAGTGATGAGCGGACTGGGGGAAGGCAGAAGCGGCGCACAGTTGTCGTCAGGGCTGTACACTGTAGGAAGTAGATCCATTTTTTAGCAACGGAGATTCCAATGACCCAGATGATATGATTGGGATATCCAGTACATTTGTGCAACCTCAAAAAAAATGGAAAGTCCAGTACCGGAGAATCCAGTGATTTTGACTGGATACTCCAGTGCGGTGGATAACCCAGCAATATTTCCTTGGGTCTCCACTCATTACACTTCCAATTTTTATCACTGGAACCACTGACCTTGATTCTGAAGCCCCAGTTGGCATGAATCAAGCAAACAGACCGAAAGCCGTGGCCGGGAAGCTCAGGGGACGCTTAAACGTCTGGAAAGGTTGAGCCAGACGCCCTTTGCGACCGTTCTGACCCTAACCCGAGGCCGCCCAGCGCCAAGCG